GCATTGAGTAACATAATCAAGCATATTCTAATTTGGCCATTATATCACTGACTAATTTATACTAGCATGCATTTTATAAAGCTGATACACATATAACAGGCACATAAGACATCCTTCCTAGATCCTTAGTCCTAATCTAGCATGCAGTTCTCATAAACATATCATATCATAAACTTGTAGGGTAATTTGGGAGTACTTACTAGAGCTCGGCTGATTGCATGCACCACATCCTTTTCTCTTTTCAAAGTTCTTTTTCTCTTTTCAAAATTCTTTTTTTTAAATGATTTTCTTTGAAAATTTTCATACCAATTCCTTAGTTTGAGTTAAGACACACCCGAGAGTGTGTCCGAATCCCTCAACCCAAGGCTCTGATACCAACTTGAAACATCCTAAAAATAAGGTCCAAAATTTTCATTTTAAATCATTAATAAAACCATAGTTATCAAAACATTACATAGAGTCATAAGTCATTATTCTCAAAACATCATAAACATTTGTTAAATATATCAGAGTAAAAAACATCACAGGCTAAAATAATGGTTTGTGCACTGCAGTCATCCCGAGCTCTTCCCCTTGCTACTGGAATTACCTGAAACCAAAATTGAAACTGTAAGCACGAAGCTTAGTCAGTCTTCCCAATCTACCACATACCATACACATAATCACATAGTCACATAGACGGGGCCCCCACCCATTCTTCGGACCCCGCCTGGCATCGAGCCCCGCTCAGTATACAAATTTGTTTCTACCAGGCCCCGCCTGTCTCTGGGCCCGCCCGCAATATAGATACAAACAATAATATATAATCATACTAGCACATAAAGAATCATACACAATACTATATATTCTCGTCCTAAGGCCTCGCATATCATGAGCCCCACCCTTACTCTGCTAATGGTGAGATATGGAACCCCATCCACACTCAGCTAGTGATGAGATACGGGACCCCACCCACACTCACATCCCTACCAGACACATACAAGTATCATAAAGACAACACGTATAACTAAACATGCATTCCTTCATCGGGTAACACCCGACATCGAATCGTAGTTCGGGAACATACATATAACCTTCCTCCGGGCCTGCCCGACATCAGACTTTAGTCCGGAACATACTAATACCATAATCTACCCATTCATAAACATACTCAAATAATACTAAGATACGGGCCTAGCCCACACTTAGCTACTAATCATAAACAAGTCTAAGATAAGAGCCCTGTCCACACTTAGCTACTAATCATAAACAGTTATAAGATACGGGCCCAGCCCACCCTTAGCTACTCTACACGGGCCGACATTGGTGCCTTCGACCCGTTCCTACAAGAGAAAACTCACCTCATAAGCTGACTGCAGAATCCCACGAATAAACCTTTCGCTGCTAGCTGATAGATCCCCGAACTGCTAATCTCTCGACTCCCAAGCTACTGATCATCATGCAAAATAGATAAGTTCGGGATTCTTATAACTTAACCATAAGTCCTCAATGGGGTAGAAGACCATTCCACCCCTCACATACTCTTGTCCAATATGGACTCTACTCAACCCTTCTGAATCCTTTCCATACTTCATAACCCTCTAGGGTCAACTCTGGTTAAAGTCAAAGTCAATGCTCGAGTTGACTCAACTCATCTAGTTTACCTTTCAACTCGTCGAGTTCCCATGACTCACAGAGTCGTGAAATCACGATCTAACTCGTCGAGCTCTCCTCCAACTTGTCGAGTCCTTCCTTATAACAGAAACGAAACTTTTCCATACAACTTGTCAAGTTCCCTTGTGGACTCGCCGAGTTCCATGAACAGAATCGGGAATATTCGACTGAACTCGTTGAGTTCCTCTATGAACTCGCCGAGTCCCTTGCATTTCTAGACTATACAACTTTTACTTTAGAGCTAAGGTTCCAGAATACATATCCATATTGTTTCCATAACCTATTTTTGTAAAGTTGACAACTTGATAGTTTTGCACGCCTCAAATGGACCCAAACTCGAGATATAGCAATCTACTTTCATGAACATGGCCTTTTCTTGGACAAAAATGGGTTTAAGACCTTTTTTATGATTCCAAGAGTCATATACTACTGAAAAGTGGGAATCCTTAACATACAATCCATGGAGGGTATCATTTTTCCCACAATGGGGTCAAAAAGACCCATAAATCAAAACTAGAAGAGATTTAAGCTATGAATCACCAAGTTAAGGAATTTTTACCTCAGAAAGCTACCAAACATGGAAAACATCCTAGATCTAATGCTTCTTCTTTAATCCCCAATCTTCTCCTTCTTCCACAATCTTCAAAACACACAAGATTCACTCAAAAATAACTCACAAGTTCATCCAAAGCATTAGGGTTTCGTGGATTAGGGTTTGGGACTTGGAGGCTGGAAATGAGGCTGATAAGTGGGGATTAAGATGCTTAAATAGGGTGCAAAACCCCGAATTTAGGGTTTTCCAAACCCAGGCCAACTCGTCGAGTAGGTTTCTCAACCCGCGTCCAAACTTATTCCTACTCGTCGAGTTATCCCTCTTGGACTGGACGAGTTGACCTTCAATTTTCACATTATCTTTCCTTAATTAGTATTCCGGATTTTGGGTGTTACAACTTTATTATTGTGTGGGTTGAAAACCCTATGTACTCACCAGGTTTCCTAACCTAACCCACTTAGTTTATTTGTATCACATGTGTTGATACGAAACTACATTACACTGAGAGATTAAAGGAGATGTAAATCACTAGTGTAAATGAATGTAAGGCCTGTTTATGCTTATGTTTCTATATTGACGATGACATCCCAAAGTTTTTATATAAACAAAATACATTTCTTTAGAAATGTTTTGATAATATATTCATCATGTTTTCTGGGAGCAAATTCCGCAATATTATTCCTTAAAATGAATACTCCGATTTTCAAATAAGCATAAATAAAAATTTTAAAATGATCGTGAATTTGGGGATATCACACTCCATAACATGCCTTGAGTTTACCATTTTATAATTATTAAAATCGCTAGCAAGAACCTTCTTATTAGAAGCATCCTCAACGATATACTTAGGCTTAAGGGTATTTCACAATTCCTTTGTATTCTCCATGTTTTTGGTAGGTATTAAATAAAGGATAAGACATATTGTTCATAATGTGGTCTCTATAGATGTAGTCATCTTTCTCCCAATTCCAACGACGTCTAATTTGCTCCATTGTTTCATCTTCATGTGCTTCTGGTGCAAAAGTGCTCATAACATGGACCACCTTCATCCGAATTAATTTGGTTACCAAAGATAAGATCAGTCAACATTAAATGTTGATTTTATCCCTTTATTAAGGGTTGATATGTTCAAACTCGTTTTATACAAGTGTATACTCTACACATCCTAACTTGTCTAAAATCAAGACTTGAATTCCATTGGTAATCTATATATTCCACTACACTAGAATGACCATATGACACTAATAGCACTAACAATCGAACATATAAACAATCAAGCGTCGTCTCTTAGCAATCTTACTAAGAGAACTTTTACTTCAAACCTTTAATCCATATAAGTCTTTTTATACAAGTCTTTTGGGAACAACAAAACAAAGTGACCATAACTTCATTCCTCTTGAGAATACATTTTAATCCCTTCATCATACACATGTATTGAGAAATTTAAACATAACCCAAAGCTCGCTTATATACTTTAACTCATAGTCTATTGAGCCTTTATTTTTGCATATGGATTGAAGATCTGGAATAGATAGGAACTACTTCACATTACCTATAATTAGACAAAAATGTTATGTGTCCTCGACCATGTAATCCTATACTCCAACTTTATGACATCGCCAAGTAACTCGACTCCTGCCTTCTTAAGAGCTTGTTTATATTTACTATCTAAACTTGCATTGACATAGGAATACGACTTAACATATGAGAAGCTCCATCCTCACACATACATAACTACTTTTTTGCCATATCCACGTAAGTGCCAATACCATTATTAAGTCCATTAAACCTAGCTAACGTTGCAAAAACCTTATAATTTCCAATCCACAAATAACATGGATTGTGTATCAAAATCTGAACATTTTCCAAGATTAAACAAAGTCGAAGCTTTTACCCAACCTTGATTTCTTCGTTGCGTGCCTTTGCGTCGATTCACAAAGGTCCAACCTTCCTTATTTGCCATACCACACTCTTCAAGAATCGATCAACAAAAACCTAGTAACTGAAGTGATCATGTAATGATTCCAAAAAAGTCATATGATCATGTCACTTAGCCGTGAAGAGAAGTTGTAGATCGTATACAAGCCACCCATGCAGGTAATCAAGATTTTTGCAAGAGTCGTCGTAAACCATATCCTCACTCCCAAGGCCCAAACGATGATCATAAACCTAAAGTGAAATAATCGAAACATTATTTTAATCAAACTTATCGCTTATTCTTATGTAGATCTAAAAATTGCTCCTTTGAACAGACACGTACAAACTAAAAAACAAATTGGCTAAAAAAAGAACTTATTTTCCACTTTCAATTCAAAAAACAAAAATCAAAGTCAACAATCTTTGGTGTAGGTGTGCTCATAACAAACACATTTTGCCTTGTTAAGTGTGTGGTAGGTGTTCTAAAAAGCACACTATGGTGTGCCATAACGGCAAAACACAACTCTTATGTCCCAACATAGTGGTGCTATTAGACGTGACACTGTCACGTACCAATGCGAAGAGTGTCCTGACACGATATGGCATATGGGACGAGATTTTTTTCAAAATGCTATTTCATTTTTTTTTATCAAGCTCAAACCATTAGGTTTTGTTCAACTTTTTATAATTAATTTTTGATATAGCATTAATAATTATGCATTTTCTTTTGCATGTATAAGTTGTTCAATATAACTAAGTAATAATAAAAATAAATCATGATATCTCCATGGCTCGACCTTCGCGCCATGCCACGACTTATGCCATTTAAAACCTTCTCCGCACCAAATTTCTCATTCTGTGACCAAGTTTTTTTTCCTTAATTTCCAACCTCAACAGTCAACCTGAACCAAACAAGCTAAAAATCGTTATGAGCAACTTTTGCATCGATCTTCCAAAAAAAAAAAGACTTCACTTACATAGACTTCATAAATACTATACTACAACATTCCAATCATAAGATTCCCAAAACTTTGCTTTGCTTTAGAGGACTTGTTCAATGACCCTATGTACTACTTAAGAAATTTCCCATCAACACAACATGTTATGTTACACACTTAAGGTTAAAACATACATTGCTTAAAAGTTTTGAACATTTTCAACACATTTTCTCATAAAACCATAACACCAATACTTCATCCTCCCCTTGTTCCACATATAATCAAGTAATAGCAACCTACTTTGATATTTGTTTTAAATCTTACATAACCACCATAAACAAATGACTTACATGTTTTTGGGTGTCAATGTCACTCACACATTGCCATATCCTACTAACAACTGTTTCCATGTGAAGAAAAGAATAAAAAGGACAACTTTGACACCTAGAGTGAACACCACTCTAAATGCTGCTTACAAATTACAATCAAACGCAAATCAAAACAACACCTCAACTCCAGATCAAATTCAAGAAAAAAAGAAAAAAGAAAAAAGAAATCAGATATTAACAACACAACACAAGCTTTTGATCAAATTTTAAGTGTGTTCATGACTCATGTGTTGCTATTACCATTTGTCCACCTTCTGAAAGTGCAAGGAGCAAAAACCCTAACTCCAAAGAAGCCAAACCTGGTTTTGAAGATGGATGCACGACGCCCACTTGAGCTTGAGGTGGAAGATGAAGGTTCGTGTTCACGTTCAGGTTCACCAACAGTTACCTGGCTAATGATTGGGGGAAACTCCACTGCATCTTCTTGAACTCCATCGCTAGCACTTGCATCCACAGCTTCAGTTTCAACTTCACACACATCCAAATTCACCACCAATGATCCTCTTCTAGCTCGTAGCCAATCTCCAACTTCACTAGTCACGTTCTTGCACTTCTTTACCTTGATCTTCACCAAATTAGGACAACCCCAAGCAAAAGCTTCGATTCCTTCATCTGAAACTGGACACCCTTTTATACAGAGCTTCTTCAAAGCAACACATTTTGATGCTATGCATGAAATCTCCCCATCAGCTATTGTTTCGCTTCCACATAGAGCTAATCTTTCTAGCTTTTGACAGTTTGTAGCGATTGCTTCTAGGCTTGCTGAGTTAGGGTTGACCCCAATTAGAACGAGTTCTTGAAGGTTTGCACTGTGTTTAGCGATCGCTGTCAAACCCTCGTTTCCTATCCTGTTTGCTCTCCACCCATCGATGTGAAGCTTTCTTAAGTACTTACAGTGCTCAGCGATGGCGATAACCCCTATATTTGTGCATTCCAGTGTCTTGACGATGTGTAGAATTTCCAATTTGGAGCAATTAGAGAGGGATGATAGCCCAACATCGGTCACCTGTAGCCTCTCGAGATGAACTTCAACTAAGCAACTATCTGCAGTCGCTATCGTCTCCAATAACCTATCCCAATCGCCTAAGCATCGGAGCAATTTCAACGTCTTCAGTTTCTTTGCACCGCTAATTAAAGGTCCGAAGAAATCGCCGTTGTATAGCTCCTTAAGACATATACTTTTGAGCGAAGAGGCCGCGGCTCCAGGCCCAATCGGCTCCGCTGCTCCTCCGTCGTTGATGCCTCTTAATCGTTTAACAGAGAGCTCCTCGAGATAAGAACAGCTATCGAGGAGGGCGTTTATGCCTTTAGCACCGAACGTGCAAGATCCACAAGAGAATTTCTTCAAACCCTTGCAGTTTTTCGCTAAGCCGGCCATACCTACATCAGTTATTTCTCGGCATCCGCGGAGCTTGAGGCGCGTGAGGTTAGGGCACCGGAACGAGATAAGGATCAGCCCTTCGTCATTTATACTAACGGATCTGCGGTCACACCGGAGCGCGAGTTTGGTAACGGAGTCAAACCGTGCGAAAATTGACGGAATAAGGGGTAGGAGATCAGATTGGGCGTTTAGAGCAAGGCGGTGGCGACTCTCCCCTTCGACGAGTAACCATCGGCGAGATACGAGGGAACAACGCTTCCGTTCGCCGGAGCTGAGGAACTGGAAAACTATGGCTAAACATTCGTCGGGAATTTCAGATGTATAGTCGATTGTAGTTGGAACAGCGTCAGGAATCTCAAAAGATGGCTCCTTTTTCGAGTGCATAAAAGAGAAAATTTCTGATCGAGCTGAAAAGGATGAAGATAGACTAATAGAGCGGTGGTGGCGCTGTGTTGACCGCGGCGGCGACGGCGCGTTGGTTGAAGAGGATTGGCCCATCCAGGCGTGGTGGTGGCTGGTGGCTGGTGGGTGTGGCTCGTTTTGATGAGGTTAAGAAACGAGGGTATGACTCTGGGTTGAGTGAAAACCGGGTTAATGGGTTTGATTTTTGAACCCGACTAGAATTCTAAGTTTCTAACTATTTCCTAACATTTACATCTTTCACCTAAACATAATAATAAAAACTTTCTATTATTATCCTTCTATAGAATTATAGGAAAACTGATTAATAGCTATAGTTATAGTTTTTGTTTATATAAAATTATTCGCATAAAAATAATTGTTACTTTTCAAATGTCTAAAGCTATATAAAAAATAGAATATAAAAGATTCTAAAAAGTAAAAATTACTTTAAAAAATTAGAAGTTCGAAATACATTTTAAAATATAATATATAATTATAATTATAAAATGAACTATTCGCTTTTAGATATGGTAACTAAAAGTCTATAACTAGTTTGCAATTCAAAATATTAATTAAACTAGGGGTTAGGGGAACATCTGAGCGATTACCTTCGCGGATCCAAACACGCTCACAAGGCGCACAATTAGAATAAGACCAATAGAGACTTCATAAGGGACCATTTGAGATGCATGTATTACATGAGTTTATTTAAAAAATCAAACTAAATATGAAATTTTAACAATTTGAAAAGTTTGAATTTGTAAGAAAAATGAAAAAAAAAAATTGAATTATTAAAATTAATGAGGCTTTAATATATTAAACACATTACATATATAAATTATTTCTAATAAATACCTTAGATATATGTTACCTTACATATTAAATATGAAATTTTAAGTTAACAAAATAAAAAATATAATAAAATGACAAATGGAAAATAGAAATTTCAAAAATTCTAGAAAATATCATGTATCCAAATGAAGAAGAAGATGACGTAGGACAAAAAATCTCTTATTTATTAGGGATGATGTAGGCTGGAATCAAGTTGAAAAAACATATATAATTTATCTAGTCGCATCCAAATTGTATAATTTGATAATTCAAATTTATCCAAATAATAATTAGCACTAAATGAAACATGTTATCACAACTTATTTTGTGAAACAATCAAATTAGAATCATAAATTTATTAATTCTTAAGAATTCTATAATCATTAACTTCGTTGAATTATGAATTGTTATACTTATATAATCTTGATTAGTAATGTCCAACATAGCTCGATTCATATATATTGTTTGATACTGACGTGGATTTGAAGTTCGGAGTTCAAATCTTTGAATCTGTTAAATTTAACTCTTGTAATTGTGCCTTATGTGTGGGAAGTTTTCCCTGTAAACCCTCTTGGAAGCTGAGTTTGCCCTGTAAATAAGCTCGAACTCAGGATCACCATTGAAATATTGCGGTGACGCTTTCACTTAATCGTTTTCTGTTTCCAAAAAAATATACTCTTGATTATTAGAATTGTTTATAAACTTAAGAAAATAAAGTTTTAAGGTTTATATCATATAAAGTCTTGTTTTAGTTTTTTCTAGATTAAATTTAAAATTATATTTTTTAAAAAGACTTTGTATTTATGTTTTTTTCATTTATTCTGATAGGCTATTTGAGCAGGTTTATTGATTATCTTTTGGTTAAAAAAATTTGAAAACTAAATTTTTGTTTTTCTGAAAAATCCTTACATTTTTATTTTTTTTTTTTCGAAAAAAAAAAACTTTGTTTTATAGAAAACAATCGCCAAATATGTGGACTTTTTAAAATAAATAATTAAACAGCAGAAGAAAAAAAAAGTTGAAGTTTCTAAGAAAAAAGTTATATAAAACTGAAAGATTACAGGTGAAAAAAGAAAAAATATAAAGTCTTTAAAAAAATAATATAATAAGATTTAATCTAAAAAACCCCCCAAAAAATAGTGTTTTTATATGATATTACTCCAAATTACATGACAACTCGAATACTTTTAATTTAATCTTAGAACAAATTCTAATTTGAGTTTTTCTATAGCTTAGATTGCTTTTATATTTTTATTTATAAATCAGTATAATTTTTTTTAATCTTGAAATCATAAAGACTATGATAAATAAAATATAACATTCCTTTTTTATATTAGAACTTTAGAAGTTAGAAGTGGATCTTCTTTGATTATAATAACAATAAGTCAATACGTATCTGAATAGAATTTTATTATAAAAATATTCAAAGACATAATTTGTTCAATATAGATAAATCCATTGTAGTATAAACTTTTCAATATATTTTTTTTAATTTTTTTTCGAGAAAATGACTTGCAAAGTAATTACCTTTTCGTCTTATTCACATTTATGCACCTTAATTTTTTTGTACACATTTGATATTTAACTTATTAAATATGTTCACATATTATCATTATCAACTGCTATAGCAGGTGACAATAGTAATATGTGAACACATTAGCAGGTGATAATGCTAATATGTGAAGACATTTAACAAGTTAAATGGTCAAATATATACAAAAAAAAGTTGTCTAAATATAAATAATTTTTTTTTATAAATTTCTTAAGACTTTTTATAATTTCTTAAGATATTTGATTTTTTTTTCTTATAGGTTTTTCTAATAAAGTGTTTTAAACTTTGCTTATAATTTTTTTATATGTTTATATAATTTTAATACAAATGATTTTAAACCAAATATTTTATAAATCTTTCAAATTTTTCTTAGAAATTTTTAAATTTTATTTTATTATTTTATTTTAATTTATTATTTTATTTACATTTTATACAATTTTTTTAAAAAATATTCGTAATTATTTATAAATTTTCTTTTACAACATTTTTAAAGCGTGTCACAGATTTTGTATGACAATTTAATATTTTTTTATAAAATTTTAAAGTACTTTTGTTAAATACTAGTTTAAAACGTTGTATTAAAAAATAAATTTTTATAAACTTCTAATTAAAAAGTATTAAAAAGATGTAATAATCTAAAAACATTTACATTATATAGTTTTTTTTTAATTTGCTAAATAATATTTTATTTTTATTTTTTTAAAAGACCATCCATACTTATTATTATATATTTAATTTATTTAATTTTATTGTTAGATATTATTTACTTTAAAAATATTGTATATGCTTCAAAACAACAAAAAAATTTATAAGAGACTATATATAATACTTCACAAAACAAAAACATATTTAGTAATTAAAAAGTAAAGTTTATAATTGATTAATATTTAATTAATATTTAAGAAATTATGGATATTTTAAAATTAGCATTTGAAAAAACATAATATAAACAAATATGAAAAATAAAATCACTATTAAAAGTGGGAAAAATGACTTAACAGAGTAATTAGTGTTTTGTCTTGTTAAAATTTAAATAAATTTTTTTATACACATTTAACCATTTAACTTGTTCATGTACCTATATATTAACATTGTCACCTACTATAACCGGTGACAATGACAATGTGTGAACACATATAACAAATTAAATGGTCAATTGTGTACAAAAATAAAGAAGTTGTCTAAATATAAAAAAACGATAAAGATAATTACACCAGTAAGTCATTTTCTTATTATTTTATGACCCAATATGGAATAAGACGAGTGATATATATATATATATATATATATATATATATATATATATATATATATATATATATAGAGAGAGAGAGAGAGAGAGAGAGAGTGTGAGAGGTTCAAATGTTTCCTACAACTATTGTATGCATGTATGAACCAATAAGAATTTAGGAATAATTAAATAATTAAAAATTCTTATAAGGGTAATTATGTAACTTAGCATATGATAATTAAAATAATATCCATTGATTCATGAAAATTTCCATAAAAATCTCTTTGATTAACTCTTTAACCCTAACCACTCATATCATACGTATTGTAATTCTAACTCCTCCCATTTGCTTATTAACATCACCGTTTCTATTTCTTCCCTAAAATTTTTACAACAAAACCCTATCAATGATTGATTCAAGCATCTGTAACATAACCGATCATAAAATATAGTCCAACTGTAACATCCATAAAATTCACACCAAATTTAAACTTTTTCAATCATACATAAAAAACCCACATAGCATTGTTTACAAAATGTTTTCAAATCATATCTCCATCAGAGTGTCCCAAAAATCATAACATAAGGATGAGGAGCGATACGGTCACGCCTTCGCCTTTCCACAATCTCCTGAAGTACCTAAAACAGTAAAATGAAAATTGTAAGCCCGAGGGCTTAGTGAGCTACCCCCAAAATACCAACACCAAACTGACAATACCATAACAATAATAATCAATCAATCAACATGCATACTGGGCCATCGGCATGACTGGACTGCCCTACCGGGCCTACAGTATGTCTGGATCTATCCTGAGCCTTCGGCATGACTAGTCCGCCACGTGGGCCTACAGTCTCCCCGGACCACTCATAGGGTATGTTGTCCTTCAACACGAAGCACGACCGCCTCAACCCAACCAACAAGCAAATAACCATGTGCGCATAGCTATCATATACTGGCATATACAAACATCAAACATATTTATCTCACTGATCACAATCATAGAATTCTCCTGTGTAACTAGAGTACCGACCTAGCAGGTTACTGACACACCAATCCCTATGGATCATAAAAGCATAACATACTGTCTACCTTGATTCCGAACTAACAAATCATAACCACATGCAACATACCATAACAATAACAACTAAAGGCCCGACCTTGGTTTCATAGACCCTATCGATATAGTGAGGATAACTCACCTCGCAAATATCGACTCGGAAGGTAAACTCCAACTCTCGGATCACTTGACACTGACCCCACCACCTATAACCATAATTTAATATACGCATAAGTATTTAACCTTATAAGGTACTCCATAACCCAATAGTCAACCCCTGATCAAGGTCAAAGTCCTCAGTCAAGGTCAACAATCCATGTTGACCTCAACTCACCGAGTATACCCAACTACTCGCTGAGTCCCTTGAAGCACAATCTAACTCACCGAGTCATCGAGGTGACTCGTCGAGTTCCTTCGAATTCCG